AATCATCTATAGTTCCGGTTTTTACTCCAGATTTTCACGATATATTTGGCCGCGCACGCGAAGCGTGTGTGCATGCGTGTGTGTGCGTGTGTGTAATATTTGGAATTTTCTGGGGAATTTAGTGGCAATGCTCGTGATAAATATCACATTTCACCAAGCGAACTAGCTGACGGGTGCAGAAATTCCATTCGAATTCATACCGATCGTACGTATATCCGGCTTTACGATTCTCCCGGCGCGAAAAGTTCGCGAGCGTGTATTACTCGGCAAGGATGAAAAATCGCGAGGCATTCGAAAGGCGAGCGATGACACCGTGCCCGACGATCCCGACACACCCGAGGGGATACATGCCGCATGAAATTCATTTGACGCGCCCTAACGCAATTCGATCGACGAATCAACGCAACGACAATGCCAATTATTCATGCGAATATCAAACGATAATCATATCGAATATTTATTAAACTACAGCTTGTTAAATGTTACACTTTACCGTCATACATATTTCAAATGCATGAAAGAGGGATTCTATACAAAATCCTCGCACAATATCAAAAGCAAGCACTCTTTTTAAAAAAAAGAGTCTTATGTTTGATTATTTCCATTATTTCCAATTATCCACGTTCTGATTTTTAAGAAATTTCTTATATTATTCTACAAAATTCTATAAAATTGTACTTGGACAATTTAAGAATGTTTGCTCTGATTTATATTATTTTTAGGTAATACAAAGGGAAGTTAAGAGTTAATTTCAATATATAAAAGAAATAATCTAAAATTAATTAATAAGACAAGAGTTGCTCTACTATTCGGAACGGATATCTTAACCAATTCGCTGAGGCATGTGGTAATATTTATCACAATAATTAAATAAATAGGTTAGCAATGAAAATCAAATATGTTTTCTCGAATTTATTTATAAATCCATAAATCCAAACAAGTTAAAAGGATTAATTGACACTAAAGATCCTGCCACATTTATCTACCTATTTTTTATAATAATACATTTCCAAATTATACAAAATTATAAATTTAGATTAATATAGATATTTTCAATAATGTTACTTACTATTCGGGTCATGTATCCAACGTTTCTTATCTCCAATCTTCATTATGCGAGGGTCATCCTAAAAAGAAGAAAATTGATACGTTAGAAAGATCAATTTCACATATATTCATCTATACGCTATTTAAATTTTATTTTTGGATATAACAGGACAGGATAAGCACACTTATAGACTCGTTGAAGGTCGTTATTTTCGCATCGTCGATAGAATCAAAGGTAAGTGGCGTTTTACGCCAAAGTGTAGTTCGATTGGCACAGTGGATATGAAAGCTGTCGGTACATATATATAGTATGTATGCACGTGAACGGAGAATATGACGAACGATCGCTCGTCACGTGCACAAAATTCAGGGTTGCCTGGTAAAATAAGAACGCGCGATCTGTATGCTCGAAGTTCAGGCCGAGGTCAGGCAGAGGTAAAGTTTGAAGAGGTATGTCGGGGCCATGAGGATAGAAGGGTACGAGCTTGCGAGAGCTCGCGTGATAGTTCATGTGCTAGTTTATAACACATATATACACAAAATTTGTGGATAACATCTAAGGTAGCACTGAGAAAATACCCGAAATGTAGATTGCTGACCGCATTGTAAAGATTGTCGGTTGTAAGTTACTAAGGCTAGATAAAATGACGTAGTTCAAAGAAATCAAAGAAAGAATATTTCACCCAAAACACTTGTAGCTGCGTAGAACAATTTTCGCTTGGCATCGATCAAATCTTTACGAGAGTGTAAGAACTATTATTGTACGATAATCATCGAATACAACATTGCAATATGTTACATGTAAGATTGATATATTGTAATAATAATGATAAGGAAACACAAAAGATATTTATTTAAATATATTCCATTAAACAGTAAAACGGTATATTCTAATTGTAATTATAATTTCTTTTATAATTTAAATTTATAATTATTTATAATTACGTATCTATAGCAATACGAAAATATTTAACCTTTAACCGAGCGCACCGTGGCACCGAGTGGCCACAAAATTCGTTTTCTGAAAATCATTGATAATGCATGC